TTTTGCTTTACGCTGTGCGCGCTCCCGCAAGGTGCATGCACCCACGGCATAACACCGCCCCCCCCCCCCCCCCGTTGACAGTTCACGAGCGTGCTCTCTCGTGAACTGTTCAGACCCGACGGGTAATAAGGGATTATGACGGATATTTTACGATCCTGTCTGTCAAAATGACGGACAGCGAAAAAGTCTAACGCCACCTCTGTGGGACAGAGAGATATGCTTTGGCCATGGGTGACAGCAGTGGGTCAAACTGTGCATTGTCTCTCCACCACTTCAAAAACAATACAGTTTTTGCCAAGAAGGTGAGGCTTATTGACAGAGATATAGATATACTGTTGGTACTTGTCAATGTCTCTAGGTGTGTACGTGTAGCCCTGTAAATACGATGTCCTTTTGTGTTCTGTTGTTTTATGTTCATGTTGTAACCTACTTGCTGCCATGTTGGACAGGTCTCTCTTGAAAAAGAGATCGATGATCTCAACGGGACCATCTGGTTAAATAAAAAAAAATAAAAAAAGTTTTTAAAAATGTATTTAAAAAAAAAAATCCCGGTAGATTTTGTCAGTCTCACGACGGTATTGGGACGTTTATTTACCGCGATATTCGGTATATCGTTACATCCCTAGTTGAACATGAAGTTGGCTAACTGTAGCTCTCTACCAAAGGTTAGCATGTTAAGCTGTAGGGCTACTTTCTGTGGCAGCTAGCTTAATACAACCCAGTCTCATGGCATTTCGTGTTCACCGACACGATTTTCCCCTTTTTTTCGTGTTGCACAGCACGATTTTAAAAGCAATGTATTTCTACTGGTAATGTGTTTCGTGCCTGCAGCACGTCTTTTTCTCCGGTCGGGTCGTGGAAGACCGGAAGCTGTGTGGTTCATAAAAACATGTTCTTACTCAATATCAAGCCACAGTTATTGCTTTTATTTGAAATCGTATAATTTCGGACTTTTGTTGCCGTCTGTGAGGAAAATAAATGGGGCTCAGAGCCTCAGAATACTGAAATCTGTATTTTTTAAATCTAATTTGTTATTCTTTTCAAAATAACACACTGTTATTTACTTACCAATAACACACAATTATCCTTGCTTTTATTTATTGGTTTGATTCCATAATCTCTGGCTTTTTTGGCGTCCGTCATGAACTGAATTTCAAAATAAAATAACCGGAAACAGACGTAGGCATTTCGAGCGCTTACCCAAGATCCTCAGCTATGGTTTAAGCTCGCTGATTGGATGTTTTAGCCACAATGCATGCTGGGATTTGGTGTTTATATGATATGAAATCCGGAAAACATTTTAAAAGAATAAAATACTTAATTCCGAGTGCTCTTGCTTTTCTCTTTGAAAGTCATCACATAACGGCATTGTAATACACGGTTCGGCTGCATTACATATTACAGATCTGCCGTAGTTCTTTATTTATAGAGCCCTGATGAGAAGACCTTTGGAAAAACTGAGAAAATGCCGCCGAAACTGAATACTTGACGTGGATCATAAATATATCAACAATTAAACAACATCTTCAATTTCTCTTCACACAATACGTCTCCTTGCAGTATCAACACTAATTCGGCTGACTTTTACATTTGATCTAATTCATAGATAGGTTATATTTACACCATAACGGTTGTTACGTCCCAACTAGGGGAAGAGGAATGGAACACACACCCGTATGTAATTGGTAATAATTATAAGTAGTTTTATTACAGAACAGGGTGTAACAAAATGGAAGGTGTCCAGCCTGAACAAACAAAAGGGCCAAAAGGGCACAGGTTGATAACCAAACAAAAGGAGGACTCTAAAAAGGGAGTCTAATGGCATACAGGGAAAATAAATACTAATATAAAGAACGAAACAAAACCTCACTTTAAAAGTGGTACAACTAACCAAAGAATCTATACAAAACACAGCTAAACTAAAGGCAATAATCACAGAATCCAAAACTACTCTAACCACTAACTAATCACACAAGTTTAACCACACTTCGACAGAATTCACTGAGGAGCCAGTAGCGAGAGGTTGTCTGTTCACTCAACAGAGCCTCCTGAGTGATCGTTGTCCCCAAACTTTGTAGTAATCTCCAGCAGGTGTGCGCCGGCTGTGCGCTGCGATTGGAGTGCGTCGGGCCCGGCGTGCTCCAATCACAATCTTCAGGGGCGGACCAGGAGATGGCAGCCAATGACGGGAGGGCAACCGCACAGCTCATTTACAGAGAACACACACAGCTGAAAACACGCAGCCGACCAGAAAGGCAGCAGCCGTAACCCTCCCCCCCCCTTAAGACACAAACCCACCGGTTTTGTGAACCTAAGCACACTAACAAAACTCCTAATAACACACATTCTAACATCACTAAACAACCCTACCTAATAACACACACTAACATCACAAACTTAACCTGGACAAAGCATCGGCCAACAGCTGAGCCCTTTTATGACGGGTGTCTAACGTTGTAGTCCCTGCACAATCAGAGCCCATTGCATGAGACGCTGATTGTGCTTGGACACGCTGGGGCAGAATATGAAGGGATCGTAACAGCTAAACACCACAATTGGCCAAAGGCTGGGTCCAACATAAATCTTAAAATGTTCTAGAGCTAACACCAACACTAGGATCCGATAAACTAGCTCAGTGGTTCCCAACCTTTGTTGTCTTGTGTACCCCCTGAGCCTTTTGTCATACCATGAGTACCCCCTCAATCATACGTGCTGATGATCCTTCACAAGTAGAACGTAACTGATTATTGAATGAAAATAACTTTATTTCATCTCCTTAATTTGAACATCTAATTCTCAGGCATTTTCTTAATTTTAACTTAAATCACTCAATAAAAATAAATAAAAATGAATATGTTGCCTTGAAAATAAATAATATAATCAAATAAATACATATGAAATCAAAATAATCAACTTATCTTTGCTATATATATATATATCTTGTAACATTTAGGCTTAAACCATGGAGCCCCTTTGAATAAGTCCCCTTTAAACAGGCATTTAAACTTTAATTCAGGAACAAAACACTTAATATCCAGAATCAGTATAGGCCTAGCAGTTTCTTTTCACCAGTCATGTGAGCTTTAATGAGACACTTGAGCTTGCTTGTCTTTCATAAGCTTTGATAGTTCTGGAGGCAGTGTGGAAACAGCTGTGACCAGGCTGGTCTCCACATCCAGTCTGTTCCTCTGCTTGGTTTTGATGTGTGTTAAAGCTGAGAAGGTCACCTCACACAAATAAGTAGAACCAAACGGCAAAAGTTCAATCAGTGCATGTTTTCCCAGCTCAGGATATTCCTTCTCCACATCACACCAAAACTCAGTCAATGACTTCTCAGCATATGCCATCTTCAGAGGGTCAGATGATAATTCCATCAGAGGCTCCTGCAGCATTGCTGGAAGGCTGTTGCTGCTCTCACTCACAATGAATGGGTTCCTCACCCAATCCAGTCTTTCTGACTTATTTTCAATGTCCTGAAAATAATGGCTGAAATCAGTGCAGAGTTTGGACAGGTGTTCTTGCACCAGTTTGACCACTGGACCCCTGGCAACAGCAGTGGTGGCAAGATGGGCATTGAGTAGTGGGAAACAGCTCACGTCTCCCTCATCACATTTCCTCTCCCATAGTTTGAGCTTTTTTGTGAATCCTTGAACTTTGTCATACAATTTCAGGACATGTGACTGCTTGCACTGAAGTGATAGGTTGAGCTCGTTGAGTTTGGTAAACACATCAGCAAGATATGCCAGGCGCGCCACCCACTTGTCATCCTCAAGCTGCACAGCAAGAGGATGCAGATGCTCCATCAAGAACACAAAAACGTAATTGCGAAGTTCATAAAGTCTCAGTAGCGTTTTCCCACGAGACAGCCAGCGCACGTTTGTGTGAAGCAATAGCTGATCGTGCTCTGTGCCGTTCTCATGACAAAAAGTTTCAAACAGCCTGTGATTCAATGGCCGAGATTGGATGAAATGTATCATCTTCACAGCATCATCCATAACAGCACTTACATCAGGGCTCATCCTCTTGCTAGCTAGTGCTTCACGATGAATAATACAATGCATCCATTTAATGTCGGGATTTACCTTTCTTACGTGCCCAAAAAGTCCCTTTACGCGCCCCGTCATCGCAGCTGCTCCATCAGTACAGATGTGGCTGCAGGTTTTCCACTGCAGATCATGTTCTCTGAAGAAGCTGTCGATAACCTGGAACAATTCTTCCCCAGTTGTCTTTCCTGGCAGCGTTTTGCAAAATAAAATATGCTCGTTTATGTCCGACGCATCTTTGTAACGCACAAAGGACAGGAGCTGCGCTTCTCCACTCACATCTGTCATTTCATCCAGCTGCAAAGCGAACTGACCGGCTAGTTTTATTTTGTTCACCACTTGTCCAATTATATTAACAGACATATCATTGATCCGACGGGATACGGTGTTATTCGACAGGGGAACTTTCTTGAGTGCTTCGGCTGCTTTCTTGTCTATCATAATTTCGGCCAACACAGTCGCTGCAGGGAGAATGAGCTCCTCAACAATAGAGTGAGGTTTTTTGGATTTAGCCACAAGCAGGGACACGGCGTAAGATGCCTCGAGTGCTTTCATTGACACATTCGTGGCTTTCATCATTACTGTCTGGCTCGACTTAAATTCCGACAGCTTTCGTCTGTAAAATTCTTCACTTTCATCGACACTTCCCGAGTGTTTGGTGCTCTGGTGTCTCTGTAAATGCGCTGGCTTCATCGCACTATTAGCCAGGACTTCACCGCAAAAGAAGCACTGAGGCTGCGGTGGGTCCGCAGAAGTAGAAATGAATCCAAATAATATATATGTTTCACTGTACTGCCTTGGTTTGGCCATATATATAAGATAAATATATAAAAAAATATAAATAACATCCGGTTTAAAAGAGAAAAACACAGATTATTATATATTGTTATATGTTGTTTCTTTGTTTACATAAGTAAACAAAGAAACCCCACACAGTGGAGTGCAGTTCAGGTCAGATTACTCACCTAAGAAGTGTTTCCCTAACAAGGCGATTTCCAGGTGACCTTTGACCTCGTTGAGATCCGTCCTGGAGTCGTCGTGGAGAGCAGCAGAGAACGATGCATGACTAGCCTGAGAGACAAACACACAGTTAAATACAGACACACATAACAAGCAGACGAGTTAGTTTACAGGTGGTATCTCTGGATCTAATCATAAAACTAAACTACTTCAGTATATAAGCTACAGTAAGTGAAACCGCGTCTAAATAAGTAGGTCACAAAAAGAAACATTTGAAGACACCTTGACTTGTACTTTTTGTTTAATGCTACCATATTCTTCCAATCCACTATATTTTAGAGGTAAATATTGCACTACATTTATCGATTTTACACATTTGTAGTCTTTTTGGTTGTTTATTTTCCTCCTGATTTCATTTCAATAACTGTAAGAGGCCCTAAAGAATTACTCATAGTACAAACAAGTTGCATGACTAGCCTGAGAGACAAACACACACACAGTCAAATAAAAATAAAACACACATGACAAAGCAACGAGTTAGTTGAGAGGTGGTATCTCTGGACATAATCATACAACTCAACTACTTGTATATAAGTGACATGATTATGTAAGTGAAGCCTGGTGTCTGAATACGTAGGACACAAAAAGAAACATTGTAAGACACCTTTACTTTTTATTGTATGCTACCATATACTTCCAATCTGTCTGGTTTCAGACAGAGGGTGAAAAGAGGTGCTGCAGCAAAATAAAGAGCTTCATGAACATTAAAGCATGGAGAGACACTACATACTGATATACAGCTGAACATCAGCAGGAGAGGACTCTTTAAAGTAGAGACACTACATACTGATATACACCTGAACATCAGCAGGAGATGACTCTTTAAAGTAGAGACACTACATACTGATATAAACCTGAACATCAGCAGGAGAGGACTCTTTAAAGTAGAGACACTACATACTGATATACACCTGAACATCAGCAGGAGAGGACTCTTTAAAGTAGAGACACTACATACTGATATAAACCTGAACATCAGCAGGAGAGGACTCTTTAAAGTACAGACACTACATACTGATAGACACCTGAACATCAGCAGGAGAGGACTCTTTAAAGTAGAGACACTACATACTGATATACACCTGGACATCAGCAGGAGAGGACTCTTTAAAGTAGATACACTACATACTGATATACACCTGAACATCAGCAGGAGAGGACTCTTTAAAGTAGATACACTACATACTGATATACACCTGAACATCAGCAGGAGAGGACTCTTTAAAGTAGAGACACTACATACTGATATACACCTGAACATCAGCAGGAGAGGACTCTTTAAAGTAGAGACACTACATACTGATATACACCTGAACATCAGCAGGAGAGGACTCTTTAAAGTACAGACACTACATACTGATAGACACCTGAACATCAGCAGGAGAGGACTCTTTAAAGTAGAGACACTACATACTGATATACACCTGAACATCAGCAGGAGAGGACTCTTTAAAGTACAGACACTACATACTGATAGACACCTGAACATCAGCAGGAGAGGACTCTTTAAAGTAGAGACACTACATACTGATATACACCTGGACATCAGCAGGAGAGGACTCTTTAAAGTAGATACACTACATACTGATATACACCTGAACATCAGCAGGAGAGGACTCTTTAAAGTAGATACACTACATACTGATATACACCTGAACATCAGCAGGAGAGGACTCTTTAAAGTAGAGACACTACATACTGATATACACCTGAACATCAGCAGGAGAGGACTCTTTAAAGTAGAGACACTACATACTGATATACATCTGAACATCAGCAGGAGAGGACTCTTTAAAGTAGAGACACTACATACTGATATACACCTGAACATCAGCAGGAGAGGACTCTTTAAAGTAGAGACACCACATACTGATATACACCTGAACATCAGCAGGAGAGGACTCTTTAAAGTTCAGGGTCAGATAAACATGTTTCTTTCTAAACTCCTGGTTGATATTGTGTGTGTTTGTGTACCTGAGCGTCACTCTGCTCCCCCTCCGCCTCCCTCAGCTCCTCTGAATCTCTGGCGGAGACTCGAGGTCTGCTCACGACCTCCTCGTTGCTCTCTGTGTCGGAGGTGTTGGGAGAATCGGCCAGATCCGGGAACTCATCCCGTCTCTGGCCCCGGAAACGGATCCTTTCCAGATGTTTCCGCATGGTGGCCGCCGTTTAGCCGGTCGTTCTCTACCTGAACATGACTGCCGGCAGCACTGCAGAGACTGAAGGAGGACAGGAACACATCATTATTATTATTATATTTAAGTTCCTAGGATACATTTTGATATATTGCAACATAAATATACATTTGATTAACTACATATCAAATGTATGCGAGTCAACAATCACGTGACCCATTTTCAAACCGTCTGTTCAGGGAGGAGGAAGTGTTTCACCAGCTGCTCTTAAACAGGGACCATAACACAGCGTTGTGAAATATAGCTATGAATCTCCGGATGTGTAAAGAGATGTCCTTTATGTATTGAGAACATACTCCTACTTATGCTCAATACACTATTTGAAAAGCCTCTTGGATCAGCTGTAAAATGCATCATCACAAAGTTAAATAACAAGCCTCAAGTTCTTCCTCCACTCCCTCTTGGCAAACTGTCACTGACAGGTTGAACCACACTGTAAGAGAAGAGTTTATATTTCCCGGAAATCAAAGCTGTTGTTTGTCTGAGAGACAGCAGAGCAGCAGCCGAGACAAGTCTCCGTTTCTCTGAAGAAACACTCAACTGAATCCAGCAGCTTCTTCTCAACAACACAGCAGGACTCTGCAAACACTGGTGAGTTCACTACAGACACATCACTTACTAAACATTTAGTCAAAGTTGGATTAAAATCTGAATCTGACTGGATTACATCGTTTGACCATATAAAGAATATTACACAATAGAAATGTGTCAGTTAAGATAAAAACCTCAACATTTAAATTAGCAACAGCCACAAAACAACTGCAATGTAAACTATGGTTAAGTTGGGTTAGAGAGCATACAGCCTGTGACTACCCGATTTGCATCTCTGCCCGATTTGCATTGCGCATGCGCGAGATGGTCCGCCATATAAACATAAACAGTCATAAACATCTCAAATATCTCTACAAAAATATTTTATGCAATTGTATTTTATTTGAAACAAAATGAAAGACATTCACAGTTAATGTAATTAGAACTATTAATGCCATACATTTTTGCATACATTCACAGTAAATATGTCTTCAGTATGATAGCTGTCTAACAGAAGTTAAATCCATTCCTCACTTATTCTGAGATTGTACTTAACCCAATAAAAGTAGTTGTTAAATAATAGTGAAGTCACATTGTAATAACATTAACTCATATCTCTCGTTCAGATTAATGTTGTTGGGTTTTTTTGTGGGTTTTTTGTATGCTTTGCGAAACAAATGTCCTATTTGGGTTGCCTATGTAGCTGTCCAATATGGCGGCCAATCTCGCGCATGCGCAATGCAAATCGGGTAGTCACAGCTAGCATTAGTTTATACTTATTTTCATATTTCCTGTATTTGAAAAGATCTTTATAATTGACTCTATTAAACAAAGTAGTATCTAAATATTAGATTTGTTCTGGACCGTCCAAAGCAAGGGATCTGGTGTTATGTTACAAGTGTTGCTTATAAAAGGCATGACAATTACATATTTAATCTTATATCATTTGTACACACTGTGGTTAGTAGCCTTGAGCTTTGAACCTGTTTCTGTAGTAACTGCTGTCTGCCTTTTGAAGCTGATAACGTTTATTGTTTTTTAACAACTAGTATTAACTTCAGTGATGCTCAGCAGGAGGTTTCACTTCTCTGTTCAACAACGGCAAAATGCCCCAACAGTATTAGAGCTTACACATTGTGTTTCTTAGAGTTTAAACCGAATGCTGCTATGATTTTCCAGATTTCATTTGAACTTAAATTGTAATTCTTACAGACAAAAAAGGTAAATGTTGTTGGTTGTCATTGGTCTATGTTTGTCATTTCTAACATAAAACGTTGGGGTAGTTTACCTGTTTGGGTTCATAGTAGGACTCTATGAACTGGCAAATAGAGAATATGTAATTAGAGTTGTGTTTTTTCCCCACAGAGTAAACATGTCTGCTACCAGCTGTCTGCTGACTGAAGATCAGTTTCTGTGCTCCATCTGTCTGGATGTGTTCACTGATCCAGTCACCATACCATGTGGACACAACTTCTGTAAAGCCTGCATCTCTGAACACTGGGATAGAAATGTCCCGAGTCAGTGTCCCAACTGTAATAAGGTGTTCAACATTAAGCCTGAGCTGCTGGTCAACACTTTCATCTCTGAGGTGGCTGCTCAGTTCAGACAGTCAGCTCAACAGAAAGCCAGCAGCAGCAGCTCAGAGCAACACGTTGTCAAATCAGGAGAAGTTCCCTGTGACGTCTGCACTGGAACCAGACTGAAGGCCCTGAAGTCCTGCCTGGTGTGTCTGGAGTCCTACTGTGAGACTCACCTGGAGCCTCACCTGACAAGAGCAGGTCTGAAGAAACATCAGCTGATCGACCCTGAGGAGAACCTGGAAAGCAGGATGTGTGTGAAGCACGATAAACTGCTGGAGCTGTTCTGTCAGACCGACCAGGTGTGTGTCTGCATCCACTGCACCTATTCAGAGCACAAGACACATGATGTTGTTCCTCTGAAAGAAGGATATGAAGGAAAAAAGGCTGAGCTGGGGAAGACAGAGGCTGAAATTCAGCAGATGATCCAGAAGAGACGACTGAAGATCCAGGAGATGAATCGCTCAGTGGAGCTCAGTAAGGAAGGAGCAGACAGAGAGATAGCAGATGGTGTTCAGGTCTTCACCGCTCTGAAGGAGTCTGTTGAGAGAAGCCAGGCCGAGCTCATCGACACCATCAAAGAGAAGCAGAGAGAGACAGAGGAACAGGCTGAAGGCTTCATCAAAGAGCTGGAACAGGAAATCTCTGAGCTGAAGAAGAGAAGCTCTGAGGTGGAGCAGCTCTCACGCTTTGAAGACCAGCTCCACCTCCTCCAAAGCTTCACGTCCCTGAACGCTGCTCCACCCACCAAGAACTGGACAGAAGTCAGGGTCTGTCCACCTTCATATGAGGGGACTGTGAGGAGAGCTGTGACTCAGCTGGAGAAGACGCTCAGGAAACAGATGAAGAAGCTGCTCTCTGAGGTGGAGCTGAAGAGGGTCCAGCAGTCTGAGGTGGAGGTGACTCTTGATCCTGATACAGCACATCCCAACCTCATCCTGTCTGATGATGGAAAACAAGTTAAACTTGGTGATATGAGGAAAAATCTCCCAAACAATCCAGAGAGATTTGATTCTTGTGCTAATGTCTTAGCAAAGCAGAGTTTCTCTTCAGGAAGATTTTATTACGAGGTTCAGGTTAAAGGGAAGACTGACTGGACTTTAGGAGTGGCCAGAGAGTCGATCAACAGGAAGGGGAAGATCACACTGTCTCCTCAGAAAGGTTACTGGGTGATAGTGTTGAGGAATGGAAATCAGTACTCAGCTCATGCTGGTCCTTCAGTCTGTCTCTCTCTGAAGTCTCAGCCTGAGAAGGTGGGGGTGTTTGTGGATTATGAGGAGGGTCTGGTCTCCTTTTATGATGTTGATGCTGCAGCTCTGATCTACTCCTTCACTGGCTGCTGCTTCAAAGAGAAACTCTACCCATACTTTGGTCCCTATCTTAATGATGGTGGTAAAAACTCTGCCCCTCTGATCATCTCTCCTGTCAATCACACCGAGTAGAACAACCATTTGATTTTCTTCAGAAAGATTCACTCTCACTAAATGTAATAAATGTCTTCAACTGGGGAAGTACATTGTACACATTGTTAATGGTTCAGAATCTGATCACATATGGTTCACCTTGATGAGACGCATAACAACACATAAAATACTGATGAGTATGTTCTAATGTAGTCTAGTTTATTCTACGGATTGCACTTCCTGCCGTCATGACTTGAAGTGATCAGAAAACTATTTAATCAGAAATAAACTTTTACCACTTCTTTATATGTCAGGGGGAAAAGAAAAGTATGTATTGTCTCAGAATTGTGTGTTCAAAAAGTGTTTCATACTAGCACACATTACTAGTGGAAGTAATGCACTTGTTTTTTAATCATTTTAAAAGGAAAAAATGATGGGTATATTTTTAAAGGGGTCGATTCAGGATTCATGCTTTAATTACAGTATATTGGTAAAAAAATGATAAACAGTTACTTTGAAAATCAACAATACTTGATCTTTAAACATTAGGCTGCAGTGGTTTAACAAATGAGGGAAATTTAAATGTTACATCTCAGCTGTCTGTTGTGTTATGTTAACTGTATTGCGTCCACCTCTCTGCTCACTGCTTGTAAAGTTTGAACAAAGCCTCAATGGATTAAAAAAAAGGAACAAAGAATGTTATTTTTTGTGTTTTTTTTAAATGTACAAACTGAAGTACAGTTTTCACTAGTTCTCAATTTAGGGAAAGTGCTTTGCAATATACTTCACATTGTTAGAAAAGGCTCCAGAAGGCCTTGGGGACATCAGTATCAGGGGCTGGAGCTGGACAGGCTCTTTCATCAGCACTTCTCCTTCCCTTTGCCAGCCAGGACCTCACATACTGTTCCGGATTGAACTGTCCTAGTGATGGTCCATTACATTTAATGAAAACCAGGCTGGACAGTCGGCTGACAGAGAGAGCATTCCTTTTTGCAGTAAGGATATCGTTCATGCAGCTGAATGCCCGCTCACACTCACTAGTGGAGACAGCGATGGTTCGGACTGCTTTCAGTAGAGGCTCCATGGCAGCAGGTGTACGGGATGCCCTGGTTTCCTTGTATTCGCGAAAGCCCTGAACAGTCTCTCTTCTGTCCACTTTCAGCACTTCGCACAAACGTAGCACCTCTACGTCCCCATACTGTACGTCTAACTCCTCTTCAGGCCAACTTCCAGGATGGATAACTTTCATGTCCTGGATTAGCTGATTGTCCCGGGCCTCCCGGCCATGTAATGGGATTTATCTTGTGCTGACATGAGAGGAGGTTGTGGAAGTCATTCTGTGTCTCAGATTCTCTACCATACTGCGGAAAAACAGACCTGCATGAATCTGTACAAGCCTGCCATTCTCACGCAGGGCAACACCCTTGAAGGACTTCTCAGCTAGAGCTGTATGAACTGTAGTCATGTGTGGGCCAGGCATGGTGACCATGGATTCAAAAACTCGTATTTCTCGA